GGGGAGTTATGTGGCGGGCAAGTCTGAAGCTGACAGCTTTTTCTCCATTCATATCTGCTTCTAGCAGGTTACACAGCAGGGAAAGCCTCCCTGCTCTGTAACCTGTCATGGACGGAGCGCTGCCTGTTAATTACAGGCGGCTCTGCATCCAGCTTTTTATAGGTAGTTAGGTTACACAGCAGCGGGTTTCCCTGCTTGTGTAACCTAACTATTGAGGAAAGAGCTTTCACAGCCTCTACTCTTTGTTAGAGGCGTGAGCTCTGTGGACGGCTTGGACCAATGGCAAAGAATGTATATATATATGTATATATAACACAGGGACATGATCTAGAAGGGGAGGTTTAGGGGGTATAGTTGGGTAATGCATGGATTAACACCTTAAGTGTTTTCTCTTCAGCCTAATCATTTTTTTACTTCAGAAATGAGGCAGAGGAACCTTAATTTCAAGACGGAGAAAGAGGTACGGCGCAGACCTAAATTCCAGGATTTTAAGAAAGTGAAGATGTTGAAAGGAAGGTAAGGAGTACAGAAATTTCATAATGACCATCTGTATATACTGAGATAATAAAGCAGGTATTGTTGAGGTGGCTCCCGTCTATTCTTTGCTTTTATTTTTCAGCATCAAAGCTGCTGCAGGCAGTTCAAACCAGAAGCCATCAAATCCCCTTCTCAGGACTTCAAACTACCCAGCGCAATGGGACATGAACGCCTTGCCAGATATTGGTTATAAGGTATGATAGAAAGGAAACTCATTTATTTGAAAATGAACTCAACTAAGACCAATTTTCATGTCAAATTATATAGCCACATTCTCATCCAGTTTCAGGTAGAGATAGTCTAAACCTTGTTTAGCTGATGTCTATCATAGATATACTTCTGTAACTTACTTGAGATAAAATATGAATATATAAGTCTAAAAACATCTTTTTTTTTATTTGCAGAAAGTTCTTGTAGACAATACTTGTGCAGAGTTCTCAAACATCGTCAAAATGTTTAGTAAGACAGTCTCCGGTCAAACAGTGAAGAAACTATGGCGTATTCAGAACCCCACCCTCTGGCAGGTCTATCAGTGGTATGTTGACAGTTATCACAAATTAAATCAGGCCTTTACACTCAAAAATCAAATTCTACCAATGCATCCCTCTATGTATGATGATTAATAATAACATAGACATGTCAGGTGTAAAATGCTGTGATTGTGAAACACTTACACTTGCAGAACATCCACATCCTGCTTTGAAAGGGCAAAATTACTTCAGTTCGCCAAACAAATGCACACTGGGATTGCCTTGTCATCAGCAGAAATCTCATCTGTAATCTCATGAGATCTCAGGGAAAGGCATTTTCCTCCCCTGAGATGATGTGCATGGTCACATGTCCTAGTTACATGTGACAGTAATCTAGGAAGTAATAGGAGAGCTAGTAATCTGCACTTAGTAAACATGGTCACTGTCAGAAGACTGGGAAAGAAAAGAGAAATAAGGAATGCAAAAAATACAAAGCCGGCAATTATCTAGAAGCATGTGATTGTAGATTGTCATTACTAAACATTTTCTAAAGATTTCGGTAAAGGTCCGCTTTAACAGAGCTCGGGGAAGGCTTTAAGACCCAAGCAGCCCCTATGTCATAAAAAAATAGTTCTGGTTCTAAGTGTTCTTATTCTCCGGGATTACTGTATATATATATAATAAGTTGCAGGAATAATGTAAAGCATAAACTACATATAGGTTTTTTTTGCCTTCCTCTGGATCAGCTTTGAGTCGGCATATATGCATAGTGTTCTGTTTTAGGTTTTTCTTCTCTCTTTTTTCTATAGGTTGACCTTGATGGACTTTTTTTGAACCCGACTAACTATGTGGCTACATATGTGGTTGAGTGTGTAATAAAATCAATAATCAGATATTCCTTTCCCTATGAGCTACAAAATTTACGATGCCCATGTCATGTGTAATGAACCTGCAAGTTTTATAGCTACCTTTTCTAGATTTCAAACTATTTTGCTCACCACAGGTATATAATGTCTTATTAATTGTTTTTAATTGGCTAGGGGCTTTAGGATTTTGAACATTGTTTTCCTTTTCTATAAATAATAGCAGGCTTGGGCAGTAGACATCTTTAAGTTTTGGGTCTGACTGCAAGATTTCCCACTTACACCTGATTGATTGTTTGTTTTTTTATGTTCACATAGGTATGTTTCAATCATATCACATATAAATGATAAGAGTTACATTTCTGTAAAAGTGTACGAGATTTGTTAATTGTTTTAAGGAAATAAAAACTCGGACAATTCTGACTTCATTACGTTGTTTCCTGTGTCTCAGGCAGAAGGATCAGATGAAGAAGAAGAATTCTGGTATTGCTGTGGATGAGCGCCAGCTGTTTCATGCCACGGAAAGTGCTAATGTTGATGCCATCTGCAATGACAACTTTGACTGGCGTATCTGCGGCACGAACGGTGTTCAATACGGACAAGGTCAGTCTTAAAACTCAACTCCAGATTGGACAGCTGCTCAGATCCCCATGTACCCAATATTGTCGATTCAGCAGCCTCCCATCATTCTAATCTCAAATGTAATTACAGAGCAAGAACACAAGAGAGCAGAGGAGAAAGGTGCAGAGTCACTTCTAGGATGGGGAACAGGGGTAGTAGCTAAGTAGTAAGTTGCTGCTGAAAGATGGAAACAACGTGGTGCTGAGCTGCTGCCTTACTGCTTGGAGGGGGAAAGAAGGGTGAGCTGAGCTGCTGAATCACTGCTGTAAGGGGAGAGCAGGGGTAGCTGAATTGCTGAGTCACTGCTGGGAGAGGGGAGCAGGGGGAACTGAGCTGTTTAGCCACTGCTGGGAGGGGTAGCAGGATGAGCTGAGCTCCTGAGTCACTGCTTTAAAGGATTTTCACTCACCTCATACTTCTAGCCGACCTGTGACAATGAGACTGTCACAGGTCGGCTCAGTAGATCGGGAAGTGAGCGAACACATACCGGCGCTCGCTCACTTCTCGATCCTGTCACGGCAGAGAGCCGCGACAGGGGAGGGACTGGATTCCCCCCTCCCCTGTCCGATCCTCCAGGGCTGACAGGCGGGACGGACAGGGGGGGGGGCGGGTACAGCAGGCTTTCCCTCTAGATAGGCTCACTCATGCAGCTGGGTGTATCCAGACATAATTTTCGGGATCCGTTTCAGCTGCGGTGTCTGAAACGGATCCCGACAATTATGTCGAGCTTTGGGTGACGGGAGGACGCTAGTTTGTGTCCTCCCATTACCTTTAGGAGAACTATGGGGAAAAGCCCTAACCCCATAGTTCTCCTTTAAGGTGAGAGCAAGGGGAGTTAAGTAGCTCATTTACATCTGGGAGAGGGGAGCAGGGGGAACTGAGCTGTTGACCCACTGCTGGTAGGGGTAGCAGGATGAGCTGAGCTCCTGAGTCACTATTATAAGGTAAGAGCAAGGGAAGTTAAGTAGCTGAGTCACTGCTGGGAGAAGGGAGCAGGGTGAGCTGATGATCCACTGCTGGCTTACTAAGAGAAGGACATAAGTCCAGTGCTTCTGCTGTGCATTTTTTAAGATATATTGCTCCACAGTACCTGCATCTACAGAGGTCAGTGAGTGTTTTAAAGCTCATTTATGGCTTGTTAAGAATATGTGCATAATTGACTGTGTGCAAACACTCCTCCTGCTAAATATGTGACAATGGGCATACCATCCAACTATTTGGGATGAGAAAGAGGGACACCTTTAAGTTGAAGGACACACCCCCTACCACGCCCCAGTTAGACAAAGAATTTGTACGCAAAAATATGATTGGTTAAACCCAAAAGGTCTTTTCTCATCGCTACTTTTCCTTTATTCTGCACAGGAGGATGATGCATTTTGTTATTCCACATTTGTAAAATTTCTCCCAACAGGAAGTTATTTCGCCAGAGACGCATCCTACTCCCACAACTACGCCCCGCCCACCTCTGAGGGGACACGCACCATGTTTGTGGCTCGTGTGCTGGTCGGTGACTTTGTCTTAGGGGTTTCCACTATGCGACGCCCGCCTCAGAAATCCAAAGGTCCCAAGTGTTATGACTCCTGTGTGAACAACGTCCGTAATCCGTCAGTCTTCGTGGTGTTTGAGAAATTCCAGATCTACCCGGAGTACATCCTGGAATATGGGGAAGAGGGGACATCTGGGACATCTTCCTGTATCATTCTGTAAAACACAAACAAAACGCTTAAAGCTCAACTCCAGACAGTTAAAAAATTAACCCGTGCAGTGCAGATACCCCCACACTGCAAGGGTTAAATGCTTGCCTTTTTCTTGGGTCTAAAATAAAGACGTTACAGTCGCCTGAACCTCAGCCCCACCTGGCTGCTAGACTGCTCCCTGCAGCTTTATTCCCCCTTCACTCCAGCGGTCTAAGGCCCCTTCAGTCAACAGGTCTAATACAGTTTATTGGGCGTGAGGATGCTGAGGGACATTTCACTGCCGGAACGGGGGGTGGGGGAGAGAGGTGAGTGGTCTCTGTCACATGAGGCTTCAGTGAATATAACTTCTTTATTTTAGACTCTAGACCAGGGATTTGTAGTTTCACCACAGCTGGAGGACCGGAGTTTTGTTACCCCTGCCCTAGACCAAAATGAGTGGTTAACCCTTGTAGTGTGGGTGTAGCCCCACTGCAAGGATTCATTTTCTAACTGCCCCGCTATGCGATCCGGGCTGGCTGGCTGGATCAGGCAGACGCGCCCTCCAATCAGGCAATGTAGAGGGCCGCCCGCAGTGGCCTCGGAAGAGCGAGCGGCCGCCCGATGACAGCCAGGTGATCGTGTCAGGGAGAGGGAGCCATGGCTTCGTTTAGCGGGGGTCGTGACGGCGCCCCCCCTCAGTCCTGCGCCCGGGGCAAGTGACCCCCCCGCACCCCCGGTTGTTACGCCACTGGACTGTGGATCTTTCTGCTCATGTCTCTCCAGTTATTGTTGTGATAGACTTACTATTTAACATTTACATCATTTGCATTGTAGGGGAATCTCTGTGGCATGAGGATGTAGCTTATTTATGATTAGCATCATATCATATGAACTGGGGGTGTGACCTACTCTATATTGTTGCAATGTGTTGGGTATTCTCTTATCTCTTTACCTACTGTTGGGTGATATATTCATTTTTGCACAGTAACATTCCTGATGTATAAGCTGTGTCACGATATATCCCCTCGCAAGAAGTATCTAGTTTACTTGTTATATGTATCTCATTTACATTGGAGATGTGATTCAGCTTATACTATTGCAGGTGTAGGGGATAGAACAACGTTTCATTATATAGCTTCTTAAGGATTTACTAACTTTTGTGCTTCATTTTTTGATATGTGACCCGGTTCATCAAGCTCAGGTGTCCATTTGAACCCCTGCAATTGTGTGTTTACTTGTGGCAGATTTTATGAAGGGTTTTCTCAGGAGCAATGCATGTTTTTAAGTGTTTTTATAAAAAAGCTTTCTTGTTTGTATTGTATTTTTCTGTACAAATGTGTTAATATCATCATCATATCTCTCTAAGTTATAAATAAAAGTATTTTTGTAATCTTTAAAAAGATTGTGCAATGTTTATAGCAGTGCAGATGGTGTATAACAGGAAGGGAAGTGTTTTTTTGTGCTTAAAGGAGAACTATGGGGTCAGGGCTTTTCCCCATAGATCTCCTTAGGGTACCGGGCGGACACAAACTAGCGTCCTCCCATCACCCTAAGCTCAGTATACCACGAGCTACTGCTCGCGGTATACTGAGACGCCGCAGCCGGAGCGGATCCCGACATCGATGTCGAGATCCGCCCAGTTGCGTGAGTGACAGCTGGCTCTGCCTATCTAGAGGCAGAGCCAGCTGTACCAACCCCCTCCCCCGTCCGTTCCGCCAGTCAGCGCTGGAGGATCGGAGCGGGGAGAGGGGAATCCAGCCACTCCCCTGTCACGGCAGAGAGCAGTGACAGGATCGAGAGGTGAGCGAACCCGGTATGTGTTCGCTCACCTCCCGATCTACTGAGCCGACCTGTGACAGTCTCATTGAGCTAATGGAGTTCTGCATGTCTTAGGTTCTTCTCAGTCCTATATGTTTCATGTAGCAATGTATCATGAGCAGTACTCAACTGTGTCCTATGGTGCTATAGGCTTATGGTGTGACCTGAGGCTGCAAGTGAGATGCAGCAAAATTATTGCATTTGCATAGAGCAGCTGGCCAAAATACCTTGTCACTCGTGTACAGGACTAATCAGAATCCATACAGAGTATTTACTCTGTTATTAGAGAGAGAGAGAAAGAATAACCTTTACCCAGTGGTGTATTCTGGTTTGGGGCTGCCCTAGGCAAGGCAAAACTCGGGTATCCCCCTCCCCCCCCACACACACTAAATTTACCCCACCCCTTCCTGTTTAATAAATTATAATGAATGTGCTGCACTTCATCTAGAACAATACATAAACAAATCTCTATAATAAATATGTGCTTAAATAATACATGCTTTTAAAAAAGTGTTAACAATGAATCTTGTTGTAAATAATAATCCTCTGGAAAGTTCAATCATATATTCCGTGTGTGAATATACACACATGTGGAATCACACGTATAAAGTGCTCAAGATTTGTCCCAAGTGCACCACACTCTTTATCCTTCCACTGTGAAAGTTCTTCATACAAAGTCCATACGTCAACTCCAGTTATCACCCAGATGCAAATTGACAATTTTTATTAACTTTTTTTTGTTACGTAAGATTTACAGAGATGACAAAAAGACAGAAAATATGAAACAATGACCAGTACAACATGCGGACCATATCCATGTAAACATTACATAGCAGCCAACTGTGCATAGTTGAACCCCCTGCAGAGTCAAGTCCTTATCCAGGGGAAAGACATGTAACCTTCATAAGTGGAAAACAAACTAGCTAGCAAGTAATACTGTTCCCATGTAGAAAAAAAAAAATGCAAAACATTATAGGTATACACACATTTCCCACACATTACCTAATTTTAGCAGTAAAATGGGTAGGAGGTAGACTACTGTGTTATAATACTGAAAAGAGCGTTTTCTGGTGCCACGCATGGGCTAGGCCAAGCTAGCCTAGAAGACAAACAAAAAGAGGTGGCCAGGGTAGTTCCCTGGAAGAAAGTAAAGCCGTCTGGGCCCGGTGACTTGCCCGTGGGGAGGGAGGCGATGACTTTCTGGACCTCGTCTACCTCCAGCGGGGCATTCAAGCTAGCATGATCCTCTGGAGAGAGCACAGGCAAGTCACAAGAGCTAAGATATTCCCGAATGTGCGAGGCCAGGGTCTCGTCACCAGTAGTGAAGGCGCCATCCGGGATATTATATAAGGATTCATAGAAACCCCGAAAAATGTCCGCTATTTTTTGGGGGTGGTGGTGTAGTACGCCACTGGCGTCGCGCACAGCAGAAACCCCTTTAAGGTTGGCCTCAGCCCGTAGCTTGCGAGCCAGAAGAGTGTGGGCCTTATTTCCCTTCTCATAGAGCCCATAGTGTAAAACTGCAAAATTAAAAAAAACCTTAAAAAAAAACTACTCACATGAGGAAAGTAGACATAAAACTTCAAAATATGGCTGCAAGCGGCGGCCATATTGAGTAGGGCAACTGCGATTAATAACGTGCTGGATTAGTGTAAACCTACTTCATTTTAATATTTTATTGCTGTGTACTATTTTTATAGGGAAATGCCGCAGGTGGCCCACGTGCAGTACAGCCTTCTCGGCCAAACCTCTTACTTCTAACTAAACCGGAAGTCAGATGGTTGGAAAACTCGAGGAGTTGGAACTTTCGATGGAACACCGGGCTGAGTTAGGCAAATTCCCAGAAGAGGGCGCTATCATATACAGAACAGCAGCCCCAACGCATTCCACCATAAAGCCTTAAGGCCTGTTCACATGAGATCAGGTCCTGATCAGGTCCTGATCAGGTGCGGATCTGCAGACTGATGCAGTGCGTTTTTGCCACGTTTTGGCCGCGTTTTTTATGCGTTTTTTTTTTGCTGGAGTGGGGCTGTTAGTATGTTAGCTGCAGTGCAGTGCGTTTTTGATGCGTTTCCTGACCGTTTCCGGACCGGACAAAATGTGACATGCAGTATTTTTTCTGTCGTAAGCTGAACGGACTGCGCACGTGAGAACTGGAGCCCATAAAACACATAGGGATACATTGGGATGCATTTTGAGTGCAGCAGCGTACGGAGCCGGTCAGCACACAAAACGGACGTCGTGTGAACAGGCCCTTAATGAGCAAGAAGGACCAGCAGCAACTCATCAGCACCTTTTCTGTCCAGAACCCCCTAAAATATGGCCTAATCAAATCTCAAAAAAGGACAATAAACCATTTCGAAAAAAATGTCATACTATGTCAGAGAATGGTGAAATGCAATGAACTCCTAGAAGCTAACTATTTGCTGGTCACTACAGAGAGAGTACAAACTGTCTCCATACCTGGAGAAGGAGGCGTAACTAGTGACCTCAGGACCCCGATGCAAGAATCCATGAACAAACAAATTTTAGACAAAAAAGACACGCTCCCCCTGTCCTCCTCTGTATTATTTCCTTAATCGGATAACATACCTGGACTTACCTCCTATTTCCTTAAAGTGACGCTAAACTTAGGAGTTAAACCTTAAAAATGCATTTATGTATCTTAACTATTAGCATTACTGTACCTTAGTTGAGTAGATGCTCAAATCATCTCTGAATTGGTGCTGTCATGTACCTTAGAGGAGTCTGAAGTGACGAGGGTGGCCTCGCCGGTCCCGGAGCACCTGGATTGTGTGCAGGGGCACAGAGGGGCAAGAGTGCCAATAGATGATGAATCCGCCAAGCAGTGGATGCTGCGATGTGTGTAGATCCAGACAGGTAACAGGTGCAGGAGAACGCACAACAGGATGGATCTTCAATGGGCCCAGGTCAGATGAGCTGGGTAGACAACAAGCAGACAGCGAGGCGCCAGGACAAGAAGCAGGAGAATAGTCAGGAACAGGCCATGGTCATGAACATGTGGGCAACGCAGTACCAGGAATGAGGCAGAATCCATAGTCAGGGGCAAGCTGAGGTTCAGGAGACAGGAGAGAAGCAGAAGGTCAAGCCGGGTTAGTAACGGATGAGCAGATCAGGATACAAGGAATACAGGGAAGCTGACAAATCTGACAGCATAGAAGGATTGGTGGCCACAGCCTTTGTAGCCCAGAGGGCACCAAAAGTTCAAATGATACGTTGGAGCATGCGGCAATGCGCGCAAACACGCTCACGAACGCGCACACGTCCACGGCGAGGCCTGGTACAGCTCTATGAGCTACACCAGGCGCATGTGTGTGTTGTAAAGTAGTCACTGCTCCTCTTTGTTCATTTGTATTGATATTGTAGTCCATCACAGAAGCGAGCTTGGTGCGCTAGCTACTTTACAACGCACACAGGGACCATGGAGAACAAAAGTAGCCACCCTTCAGAAGGAAGGACAGTGTCGGCACCAATTCAGATGATTTGAGGATCTACAGCTGAGTGATACACAAATAAGAGACATTTCTGCATAATATTTAGGGTACTTGAATGTATTTTTAATATTTAACTAAACTGAGTTTAGTGTCACTTTAATACTATACTTTACCTCTAATAATGTACTAGGATTTATTCCTACACCCCCCACAATTCAACCTAATAAAGCTTATTTGTTTTTTAATCTGGGAGAGAGAAGTTAGAGAAGGAGAGAATAATGGAAGAGAGGGGAGAGAGAGAGAGAGAGAGAGAGAGAGAGAGAGAGAGACTATTTTGGGTGGGTGCCAGTGCTACGCAGTCCTTGTAATTCAGTCCCCTCCTGGCTATTGGAGATAGGGGCTGTGTTATGTGCAGTGTCAATGTTTCTTAGTTTCGGTTTCCATTCTCAGATGTGATGTGGATGATCCACCCTCTGCTGTTATTTGTCCTAAGATGACAAATTCACACAGATACAGAAAATCACAAAGCCCAGGCTTCAGGCTGTATCGGGGGCCCCAGACATCAGGCTGCATCGGACCCTGGAACCATGTCAGACCCCACAGTCACTTCCTATCTGACCAAGTTGCTTTGCTCACATGGCGGTCGTCTGGAGAGAAATCAGTTGGATGATCTTCTGGAGCTCCCCGCAGAACAGATTGAGCAGATCCTGGAGGATGAGCCGCTCAGATTCCCACAGAACTCTCAGATGGTACTGGCCCGAAGCCCCCTGAGGATTTGCAACCGATACCTACACCTAAAGGGGAAAGAAGAGGAGGAGGAGGAGAAGTGCCCCAAACTGCACATGTGTCACCAGTACCTAAGGGGTCAGTGTCCCCCTAACCGGAGGTAGGTTCAGGGGCAAGGGGAGGGTGCTGAAAGTGTTGGGGAAAGAGGAAAGTGCTGCTATAAGGGTATTGGGTCATGGGCAGTAAAAATGTCGGGGTATCTAGGCAAGAGGAGGGCGGCTGTGTGGGCAGAGAGACAAATAACAGTTTGGTTTGACTGGGGTAATTGGAGTGAATCAGGAAGTATTGGTGTAAAGTTGACAACACATGTAACAGTCTAAATCCACTAGTGTGTCCAGGGGGTCCTGGTCTGCTTTCTGCTACTACGATGCCCCAAGTACTCAGCATTGAAACTGCACATTCTGCTGGGAGAAGGGGACCTAATTGTGAAAATACCTGTACAATATGTTATAACGTCACACAGACATGATCTAAATCTATACTAGTTTCTTCAGAAGTAGGCAAACTTGGGCCCTCCAGCTGTGGTGAAACTACAAATCCCATGATGCATCTTCCACTGGAAGTCATGCCTGTGGCTGTAAGAATCTTGCAATGCCTCATGGGATTTGTAGTTCCGCAGCTGGAGGGCGAGAGTTTGCCAGAGTTACTTCCTTGACACATGCGGAAAATGCAAGATATACAATGCTTACCTCTACAAGGGTCACTGAGACATGTTTCTCATGGGTGCCTCTAGATAACCTGTATAGCGCCTGGGGAACTACAACTCTTAGCATGCACTGCCGCCGATAGAATATGGGAATTTGTAGCTCCTATCACACAATATAAACCAGGAGTAGGCAACCCTGGCACCCCAGACCTTGGTGAGATTACAAATTCCATTGTGCCTTTGTCTTTGGGAGTCATGCCTGTGGCTGTCAGAGTCTTGCAATGGCTCATAGGACTTGTAGTTCCACCAGAGCTGGAATGCTGAGGTTGCCTACCCCTGGTATACACACACATACTGTAAGTGCTATCACTAATGTTGTGAACTGAACTCATGGCACAATGCCTTTGTCAATGCATTGGGTCTGCGTTGGGCAAAGTTGCCCAGCACAGACCAATGCGCATGGTGTGAATGAGCCCTAACTGTCAGCACAGGTACTTTGTGTATTTAGTAAGAAGGGGCAAACAGCATTAGGGCTCAAGCGCACGAGTGTAATAATACTGATATCTTGGCAGAATATTGCTGACAAAAAAGATCCGGCATAAAAAAAATGCAGGTGATGGTCTATGTGCGCATGGGCCCACAATATACAATAATGTTCCGTTCAAATCCAAAAAACTACGCTGTACGGATCTGAATGCAATGGGACATTTTTACAGCTGTGTGCAGGAGCCCTCTTCTGAAAGGTTCAGTCCCCCATAGCAACCAGATGCCCTCTCTTAACCAATCAAACTGCTGTAAAGTGAAACCTAGCCAGTTGCTATGGGTTACTGCCCCCCTGCACATCTTTATTACAGTCCAAAGGTTATGAGCTGGAATTCAAGGCCGACATCACACCTTCATTCAGATCCTTTACATCTACAAGGGCACAGAGGTGTGCCCTTCTTATATGGCCATATGGATGTGCCCCCCCCCCAATGCACACGTTTAACCCCATCCTGCCCATGCCAAGCTGCATTTATGACATGTCAGTGCACAGAGTCCAAACTGGTGTCACACATCAAATTTCCCCCCTTTAAGCTGCACAGCAGTGTTAACCCTTTCCTTCTCTACTCACCTCCAATTTGGGGATCTTCAGGATGCAGCTCTTGGATTTAGATGGCTTGTTCATATTGTTTCAGTTGTTTCAGACAGGCTGCTCGCCTCCCAGTGACTGTCCCTAATTCAGGCTGATTCTCAGTCTGCCCCCCATGCGTGGCCTGTCTCTTTTCTCTCATACTCTGCTCTCCCAGCCCCAGACACAGTGTGCAGTGATGACAGCGGCGATCTGCTTGTAGGAACAAACTGGATGGACACGGGTGTCACAGAGGTGACATCCAATCCTTCCTGCTCTGATCAGGAGACGATCTGTGCACAGATCCACTCCTGATCGGACCGTGTGAAAGGAGCCTAAGGGAGAGTGTACAATGAGATTGTAATGTGAGTGACCAGTTTGAGAGATGGGTAAGTGTCGCGGTACCAGGGAAAGAAGATTGTGACACATGGGGAAGGAGGAGGCTGGCCGGGGATATTAGGAAAAGAGAAGGGAGAATCGGGGGCAATTGTGCAAGAAAACAGCAAAGTCTTCAAGGTTTTGGGGTAGGAGCATCTCAGGTGACCAGGATAAGAAAATGATGCAAAATCAAAAAATGCATAAAACCTTTCAGTTGACAAGACAGCGATTTCTCTGGGTTACACTGGATGATCCATTGTCTATTATATTGTCCCCCTGGGTAAGATGATGCTGCCCCTCAGTGTGGAATCACTTTCTAAAACCACATCTCCATCCACAATCAGAACTCATGGTACCTTTCTGTTCCAGGCCTCCCTGTAGATTCTCCCACAGTGTCTTGTCTGACCACAACTGCGCTGTGTTAAAGGCCAATGAACTGAGCACACTGAATGAGGACGAGATCAAAGTTCTGTTGCTCCAGAATGACAACCAGTTGCTGCCGGAGGTACGTGCAAGGTCTCCTCACTGCCACTGTTGTCCCCACTCCCCCATGATTTAGGGTGGGAGAATCATGGGAAAAATGCTGGCTAATCCAGATGTAACTTTCCAATAACACTCACCACTGGAATATCACCCTGGAATATCACACCCTCCATCACCAACCTTTTCACAGCTTACTACATATACAGTATTTCCCTCCACATTTCTGATTACAACCACATTGGGATCTTACACTGTTCAACATGACCCTCCATAAGGTAGAAAATACTCTGTTCCTGGCCTTCTCTCTACCTTTCTGATTACAACCACCATTGGGATACTACATCCTCCAACACCAACCTTCTCACAGCTTACAACATATATTTCATAAGTTAGAAAATACTTTGCTTCTGGCCTTCCTTCCACATTTCTGATTACAACCACCATTGGGATCTTACACTGTCCAACATCACCCTCCATAAGGTAGATGATACTCTGTTCCTGGCCTTCTCGCTACCTTTATGATTGTTTTCCCTTTTGCTTTTATATGCTGCATTGTATTGACATTGTATTGAAAAATGCTGAGCAATCTCCTGCTTAAAGGAGAACTATGGGGTAAGTGTTTTTCACCACAGTTCTCCTCAGGGTAACGGGAGGACATAAACTAGCGTCCTCAGTGACCCAAAGCTTAGTATACCGCGAGCTACAGCTCGTGGTATACTGAGACTGCCGCAGCCGGGACGGATCCCGACATTACTGTCGAGATCCACCCAGCTGCGTGATTGACATCTGGTTCTGCCTATCTAGAGGCAGAGCCAGCTGTACCCGCCCCCTCCCCCGTTCGTTCCTCCAGTCAGCGCTGGTGGATCGGAGCGGGGAGGAATCCCTGCAGGGAGCCGTGAGTGACAGTCACAGCTCTCTGCAGGGACAGGATCGAGAAGTGAGCGAGTGACGGTATGTGTTCCCTCACTTCCCGATCTATTGAGCCGACGTGTGACAGTTTCATTGTCACACGTCGGCTCGAACTATGAGGTTGAGTGAAAATCACTCCCTTCATAGTTCTCCTTTAAACACTATTGACTGGTCTCTCTGTGCCACTCTCTTGCAAAAGATATGCTACTACTATGGGGCAGGCTCCTACCCCTTTGTCTGTCATGTTATGCCATTGTTAGCATGTAGCATTTCATACGGCACTTCTCACAAAACATTTGCTGTCCCTTGCATCACTTGTTGGACTTCAGGTACATAGTAGTATCTGTTCCATTCTACATGTATTATTGCCAAAAGCAGAGCACCAAGGATATGAATTCCGGTCATAGACATGATTTCGAGACCTGTGTAGGGTTGGGGACATGATTTCGAGACCTGTGTAGGGTTGGGGACATGATTTCGAGACCTGTGTAGGGTTGGGGACATGATTTCGAGACCTGTGTAGGGTTGGGGACATGATTTCGAGACCTACACAAAACATTTGCTGTCCCTTGCATCACTTGTTGGACTTCAGGTACATAGTAGTATCTGTTCCATTCTACATGTATTATTGCCAAAAGCAGAGCACCAAGGATATGAATTCCGGTCATAGACATGATTTCGAGACCTGTGTAGGGTTGGGGACATGATTTCGAGACCTGTGTAGGGTTGGGTTCTTCAGGAATAAAGGCCTGGTCACAGAAGGTGCCATCAGCATGTCTATTCCTTCTACAACTATAACAGAATGATAAGATCCACGTTAATATTCTCATTGTGTCCCTTTGTTTCCCATTCCTTTGAAGAACTGTGAGAAATACATGCACAGCAACTGTGATCAAGGAGAGGACTGTTCGCGCCTCCATGTGTGTAGGTATTTCATCAGAGGGCAATGCAACAACCGCTTCTGTAAAAGATCACATAATCTCCTGGGATCCAAGTCACTACTCACCTGCAGCTGGCTGAGCCAGGAGACCATCCAGAACTTTCAGATACTCTGCGTGCTGACGCACAATGAAAGGCATCAGGCGCAGAGGGAGGAGTCGAAACATCAGAAGCCCAGGGATGCGAGGGGGAGATCCAGGGGCAGAAGTAGAAGAAGGACAGGAGACAGAAGAAGAGCGGGATCTCAGGACCTATTGAAGGATGGGAGCAGAGAGAGAATTTATAAAGGTAATCATACCCCGTTAAGTACTTAAATGATTGGTATGCAATGCATGCATGGCCCAAATGTAACACCAAACCTCTCTTTCCTCTTTCCTGTTTTAAAAATAGCTCTTATTACTGTTGTTTTTTTTAATCAGATTTTTAATAACACCATTTATTAGTGCCAAGAAGTTACAGAAGAGTAACTACCATTAGTACCTTGTATATGCCAACCGTAAACAAGGTTTAGGATACCTCTACCTGAAACAGCATGAGAAAGCAGTTATATAATTTCACATGAAAATTGGTCTCAGCAGAGTTCAGTTTTAATTAAATGAAGTTGCAATGTTTCCTTCCTGTCTTCCCTGGTAACCGATCTCCAGTACAGTATTTGTGTTCCACACTGCTGAGTAGTTTATGGGAAGTTCATGGCATCTGGTTTGAACTGCCTGCAGCAGATTTGATGCTGCAAAATGCACTAAAAAACAGATGGGAGTATCCTGCCACCATAATAACTGCTCCATCATCTTAGTACATACAGACAATTATTATAATATTTCTATACCTATTCCCTTTTTATTTTCAAGATCTTCGCTTTCTTAAAATCCAGAAATATAGGCATGCAGTGCATCTCCTTCTCTGCCTGATCATAAATGTTCCTCTGCCCTATTTCTGAAGATGAATAAATGATCAGACTAAAGGGAGATCACATAAGGGCTAATGTATAAATGTTCCACCCAGCATATAGCTGAGCGAATGCCATTCGCATGACATTCAAAGACACTAGATTGAGCCAAGAAGCACAGGAATCTCCTTACTTTCTTCATTGCTTGGCACTGTTGTCAGCCAACATCAGGAACGTAGGAGCTCACTTGATTTCTGACAGGATCATCAAGTTTATTCTGTAGTTCTGTCATTTTTCAAAAGAGAGAAAACATGGATAAATCACATGTACTGCAGGAGAGAGAAATGTCCTAGCAGGTTCTGCCTTAAAGCGGACCTCTCCCCATATCTTTAAAGCAACTACAAACACACCTTTAGAAATGTTTAGTAATGACAATCTACAAATACATACTTCTAGATAATAACCGGCTTTGTATTCTTTGCATTCTTTGCATTCCTTGTTTCTCTTTTCTTCCCCATTCTTCTGACAGTGGCCATGTTTGCTAAGGGCAGATTACTAGCTCTCCTGTTACTTCCTGGATTTCTGGCACATGTGACTAGACATGTGACTGGGACATGTGACCATGCACATCATTTCAGGGGAGGAAAATGCCTTTCCCTGAGAGCTCATGAGATTACAGATGAGATTTCCCAGCAATGCTCTGCTGATGACAAGGCAATCCCAGTGTGCATTGCTGTGCCAAACTCAAGTAATTTGCACTTTCAAAGCAGGAAGTGAATGTTCTGCAAGTGTAAGTACTTCACAATCACATCATTGTACACCTGGCATGTCTATGTTATTATTAATTATCATGCATTGGTAGAATTTGATTTTTGAGTGTAAAGGTCCGCTTTAATGAATTTAAAGTCAGGTATGTGAATTGCATCCATGCGTAGCATTACATTTTATAATGCGTGTCATTTACAATATTTTTAGGGCCTCTTGTCTGGCAGCAATCTGACCGCCACACACCACAACAGCATAGTGGGGGCCAGCATTTGGAAGACGAGAATTACAACAGTGATTGTGAGAGTGATCGCAATGACAGAAATTTGAGAACAAGGCTTGACAGTCTAATGGGCGACTGGTTTAGCCCAAACACGTCATCATCAGGAAATGTACAAGTCAGATCTTCAGCAACATCTACTTGGGTTACACAACAAGAAGAAATTAGATCTGTACCATCTACTAAAGGCCAGGTGTTGTCATCCAAAGTTAATGGGGCTGAATTGCTTCCGACTCTAGGCGTGCCAGTGGAATGTCTTCATCCTAGACATACTCATACATTTCCTAGCACACCAGTCAATGTCCCAAAACTGGGTCATGATCCACCAAAACTGGGTCATGATCCACCAAATACGTCTAGTGTGGAATCAATTCTATTTCAGAAGTCCTACCAGCCCTGCACTCATGCCCCATACCCAACTACTGCTCAGACAAGACCAGCCGACTCTCTTTCAGTCAAGGATTATAATTTATCAAACGCACCTATAATTTATCCTAAAAAAGAATCATTGCTTTCTCAGCCAATACCACTCACTGCACCCAGCCAACCAACATGTATGAGCTTGAGAAGTGGTCCAAGCAATTCTTCACCAAAACCCTTAACTTCAAGCACATCATTTAAGTCTTCAACAGGACATCCATCTACTCAATTAAAACCACTTTCTGTATCTACCAGGCTGCCAAGTGATCCAACTTCATTAACATCCAAAAAGCTGGTGACCGCTTCTACCAAGAGTGCTGAACCAGGTATTATTCCATATACTTTTTCAGCAAAACCTTCCTCGGTACAATGCCATTCCAATGCCTAACCTTTTTTGGCCATATTTTTCTTCAGGGTCACAGGTGGACATAGTATATGTCCACCTGTGACCCAAAAACTCAGCAAATAGTGGGCTATTGCCTTTTATATGTTGGCAGCGCAGAGCCACCCTACAGCCGGGTCAGATCTCAACAATATTGTCTGTCCTTCCAGAGGCAGAGGTAGCTGTGCCCGCCCCCTCCCTGCGCGTTCCTCTAGTCAGCGCTGGAGAGGGGAGGGGGGAATCCCTGCAGGGAGCGGTGACTGACAGTCACCCCTCTCTTCAGGCAGAAGATCAGGAACTCAGGATCAGCAGTATGTGTTCCCCGAGTTCCCGATCAATAGAAGCGAGCTGTGACAGCTTCAGTGTCACAGGTGGGCTTGAATTATGTGGTTGAGTGTATAGATTCACTGATACCGCTATCTCTGTACCGAGTACCGATATTTTTTGTTCGGTACTCGCCAATACCGAGTACCGGAAGTCCCATTCAGGAAGCCAGGCGGCATTAGCCGGGCAGCATGTAAAGACTCGCCACCCGACTTCCCGATTAGCAAGGAAGCCGTCCCCATGCTTCTCATCACTATGTCACTGTGCCATTATCTCTGTGCACAGTGAGTGCACCAAGAGAGTAGATAACTTTGTTTTAGGGATGCGCCGATATATCGGCCGCCGAAACATATCGGCCAAAAATTGCACTTTTGGCTAAATGATGTAAGTGCCATTTTTCTGCCGATACATCGGCACATCCCTGCTTTCTTTCCCCCCCCACTGGGTGCTGCTCTGTGTCCCAGCGGGGATGAGAGAAAGTGTCACAGACGTCCGAGCGCTGCGGGAGGAGAGCGCTGTGACCGGCCGGCGTCTCTCCTCCCACACCGCTCAGCCTCCTGTCACAGATCGGCAGAGCGTTGTGTGGGCGGAGACACCCCGCCACGTTGTCATTGCGCATGCGCGTGACGTCACCTCGTGCGTGCGCGGCCATCTGATTGACGCCGCCTGGCGGCGCCCATCTTGGTGATGGACGCCGGCAGAGAGAGGAGGGGACCTTCACCTGGCGGGATGAGGTATGCCGCCGGTTTCCTCCCCTCTCCTGACACTGTCGGGCTCTTATCACTGTTGTTTTTTTTATCAGATTTTTAATAACACCATTTATTAGTGCCAAGAAGTTACAGAAGAGTAACTACCATTAGTACCTTGTATATGCCAACCGTAAACAAGGTTTAGGATACCTCTACCTGAAACAGCATGAGAAAGCAGTTATATAATTTCACATGAAAATTGGTCTCAGCAGAGTTCAGTTTTAATTAAATTAAGTTGCAATGTTTCCTTCCTGTCTTCCTTGGTAACCAATCTCCAGTACAGTATTCGTGTCCCACACTGCTGAGTAGTCTATGGGAAGTTCATGGCATCTGGTTTGAACTGCCTGCAGCAAATTTAATGCTGCAAAATGCACTAAAAAACAGATGGGAGTATCCTGCCACCATAATAACTGCTCCATCATCTTAGTACATACAGACAATTATTACAATATTTCTATACCTACTACTTTACTTTCAAGATCTTCACTTTGATCAGACTAAATAGCGCTCAGATAAGGGCTAATGTATAAATGTTCCTCCCAGCATATAGATGAGCGAATGCCATTTGCGTGCCATTCATAGCCATTACATTGAGCCAAGAAGCACAGGAATTTCCTTACTTTCTTCATTGCTTGAGATTTCAGAGCAACATAGGCAGTGTTGTCAGCCAACATCAGGAACGCTAGTGCTCACTTGTTTTCTGGTAGGATCACCAGGTTTTTTTTCTCTAGTTCTGAAGTTTTTGAAAGAGAGAAAACATGGATAAATGTGCATGTACTGCAGAAATGTACTTAACAGAGAGAGAGAGGGAGAAAGAAAAAATGTCCTAGCAGGTTCTGCCTAAAAGTGGACCTTATCCACTTTTAGGCAGAACCCATATGGTACCCATATCTTTAAAGTAACAACAAACACACCTTTAGAAAATGTTTACTAATGACAATCTACAAACACATACTTCTAGATGATTTGCCGGCTTTGTATTCTTTGCATTGCTTATTTCTCTTTTCTTCCCCAGTCTTGTGACAGTGGCCAAGTTTACTAAGGGCAGATTACTAGCTCTCCTTTTACTTCCTGGATTTCTGGCACATGTGACTAGACATGTGACCATGCACATCGTCTCAGGGGAGGAAAATGCCTTTCCCTGAGATCTCGTGAGATTACAGATGAGATTTCCCAGCAATGCTCTGCTGATGACAAGGCAATCCCAGTGTGCATTGCTGTGCCAAACTCAAGTAACTTGCACTTTCAAAGCAGGAAGTCAATGTTCTGCAAGTGTAAGTATTTCACAATCACAGCATTTTACACATCATATGTCTATGTTATTATTAATTATCATGCATTGGTAGAATTTGATTTTTGAGTGTAAAGGTCCGCTTTAATGAATTTAAAGTCAGGTATGTGAATTGCATCCATGCGTAGCATTACATTTTATAATGCGTGTCATTTACAATGTTTTTAGGGCCTCTTGTCTGGCAGCAATCTGACCGCCACCCACCACAACAGCATAGTGGGGGCCAGCATTTGGAAGAAGAGAATTACAACAGTGATTGTGAGAGTGATCGCAATGACAGAAATTTGAGAACAAGGCTTGACAGTCTAATGGGCGACTGGTTTAGCCCAAACACGTCATCATCAGGAAATGTACAAGTCAGATCTTCAGCAACATCTACTTGGGTTACACAACAAGAAGAAATTAGATCTGTACCATCTACTAAAGGCCAGGTGTTGTCATCCAAAGTTAATGGGACTGAATTGCTTCCGTCTCTAGTCGTGCCAGTGGAAGTTATTAATTCTAGACATACCCATGCATTTCCTTGCACACCAGTCAATGTCCCAAAACTGGGTCATGATCCACCAAATACGTCTAGTGTTGAATCAATTCTATTTCAGAAGTCCTACCTACCTACCTACCAGCCCTGCACTCATGCCCCATACCCAACTACTGCTCAGACAAGACCAGCCGACTCTCTTTCAGTCAAGGATTATAATTTATCAAACACACCTATAATTTTTACTAAAAAAGAATCATTGCTTTCTCAGCCAACACCGCTCATTGCAAGTGGTCCAAGCAATTCTTCACCAAAACCCTTAACCTCAAACACATCATTTGAGTCTTCAACAGGACATCCATCTACTCAATTAAAACCACTTTCTGTATTTACCAGGCTGCCAAATGATCCAACTTCATTAACATCCAATAAGCTGGTGACCACTTCTACCAAGAGTGCTGAACCAGGTATTATTCCATATACTATATCACCAAAATCTTCCTCAGTATCCAGCAAGTCAGAAAATTCTAGTCCTAACCAAACTCCTGTTAAGAATTTAGATTTAAAGGTGTGTTCTCCAGTGGCAGAGCCAGCTAATGTTAAAACAATACCATCATCAATGTCAAAAACATAATTGTGTTCTACTTCGGAGAGCCCATCCATTGTTCTACCAAAACCAGCTACCTCTACAGTAGCAGCTCATTCAGAACCATCTTCAAGTTTACGAGGTATATCCAATGTCTCCAGCAGAGCTGAAAGTCCTTTAAGAAAACAACAAACTGATGTAAAACTAAAAACAAAACCTGATGCATCAAGTGGCATCCAGCATTGTCTAAGTGATCCAAATGGTCTGCAAACTAAGCCCACCAGCTCAATGGCTTCCCAACCTCAACCAACTACAAATATTCCTTCTGTAACACCTTGGCAATGTAAGCCTTGCACTCTCCCCATAATTCTCCTTCAATTCTCCTTCTCACCATCAAGAATGCGTTCCAGTGCGTTCTGCCTCTAGAACGCAACCTGGCTGGCTCACTTTGTTTGGGGGCGTGGAGGTGCATTGAACTCAATGGAACCGCAGCCACGCCCCCCGCCTGCGGGGTTATCGCCGGCACCCGAACGCATGGCACATTAGTGCCTGCGAACCGGTCCAGTGCATAGAGGCCGAGCGCACTGGAACACACTCTTGATGGTGTGCCTGGGCCCTTAAAGTGTATCTGAAGCCAAATGTAATTACCCTTTGTATTTGTCCTAATGACCATCATCACCAGGACAAAAAGTTATGGAGGTGAGGGGAAATCTTCCATTGTGAGAACAAATCTCTATAAGGGGATTTTTTCTCACTTTGAAGAAATATCATCTCGCTTCCTGTTGTGTATCTGGTACAGGAAGTGAAGTGGAATCTCCCAAATAGGACACAGGTTACAAAAAAAGACCTGGCAGGGGTTTAACCCTTTCCTTAACTAAAATTAAAAATAAGTTATCCACAATGAGAGCCGGCACTTTCACTGTGCTGTCACTGTGCCATTATCTATGAGAAGATAACTTTGTTTGTTAGGAAACTTCACTTGATTGGCTGTTTTTTTCCCACATTTGATTTATCCTTTTTCCCTATACTTGCAGCATTGCCGGAGAAGATGCCAGAAATTTGCCCATGTCATATTTGGGAAAACTGCGTGTTTGGAGGTAAATGACCGGTCTGTATTGTAAGAGGTATTCCCCAGTGACAACCCACTCGCCTTTCTCCTGGTCCATTCCGGACATTCTAGAATTGTGTTCCGTCAGAGATAACAGTCGATGTCTTTCCCACTTCACAGATACCTGTGCCAACATGCACTATCACTTACCGTACCGCTGGCAAATGTTCAACAGAACAGACTGGGAGGACCTTCCCAACATGGAGAAACTGGAAAAGGCTTTCAGCGACCCAAGCATTGACTGGTAGGGGCCCATCACCTTGTCTTTGTGCCTACATTATATCTGAAATCCCAGCTCTGTTCTCTGACCACCGCTGCCTACATAAAGCTGAACTCCAATATAATATAACACAAACAAATGCAGCTCTGTATTCATCATTAATACATTATTAAGTGTATTTTCAATGCAAGCAGTGCAATGAAAATCAATTTGACCGAGGCAGGGTGACACCTGGTGCGGGCAGTGGCGTCACAAGGGGGGTGCGGCCCGCACCCGGGTGACAAATTGAGCGATTTATCGCACGGTAATTCCCGCGATATCGCGGCTATTTACCGCGCGATATCGCTCTTCAATGCTTTGCAATGGGGCAAAGGGTCCTGCTGTCGCGGGCCGTGTCGCGCGATATCACGCAAAATGCAAATCGCGCGACAAACGCGAGATTTGCGAATCGCCAAGTGTGAATGGGGCCTTACTGTTCAGCAGGGCCAATCGTGCAGCTGCCTCTGGGAGTCATGCCTGTGCAGGGGTGTCCCGAGGCAGGGTGTCACCTGGAGCGGATACCGGATGATACTCCGCAGTGGCGCCATTGCGCATGCGCGCAACATCATCACGCCGGGGGCCTACGTCTTCGCCCACACGCGTAATGATGTAACACGCTGTTACCTGCCGGTGGCCATCTTAGTGATGGACGCCGGCAGAGAGAGGAGGGGACATTCACGCGGCTGGTGTCACCCGGGTGTGGGCCGCACCCCCCTTGAGACGCCACTGCCTGATATCAGCCTTTTGAAGTCCCTGTACAGCAGAGCTCAGAATGGGGAGGGAGAAGCTGCAAAGTAGTCAATTAGGTGTTGCATTGCAAAAAACATTCTGATAGGCGCAGCGAAAGACACAGAGATGAGCTCATCAGTCTTCTGCTTCTCATTTTACCTTACAGTCACGGGCTGGGGGAAGGGGAGAAGACCTGAAAGTAAAAGTGAAACTGCAGCAGAGAAAAAGCAGGTCTCTTTCACCACCAGATGGGGCTATGCTTTGTGGCAGAGCTGTGTTCATTTTAGGACTGGATGAACAGATATACAAATTCTTTGGCAGATAAAACATTTTGTATCCGTGTATTAAGCTGTTCCCTTGCAGTCTGGCTTTAAAGTGTAGGCTATTGCTTAGTTTTGGATCAGAAAGTGTTAAAATCTCTGGCAGATTTGATTGCTGGCTGTGTCTCCATTTGGGAGATTTCCCCTCACTTCCTGTTAACTTTGTCAATGCACTGTAAGTGTTGGCTTTCTGTTTTGGGTGGGTTCTTCATGGACTGGTAAGTGGTCTTTTTGGAATCTTGGCAAGCAGATGGGTTGGTTACTAGCAAACCCAGACCCAGTGAAAGGGCCAGATTCATTGCCCGTTTGGATCTGTGTGTACTGATTCACTCATTTCTAAACAGCAAAATATTTAGAGATCTCCAGAAATGTAAAAGGGGGACAATGGTGGAAATCAGAGGGACAAAGGCATTTAGTCTTGGTTTAGGGTAGTTGGTAGTGTTATGGCCCCCGGGGGCCCCATCCATTTAAGCAGGAGGCCACCCACATAAAGGCCACCATCTTGTCAGGGGTCCCGTGACGGCTCAGGAGCCGAGATGTGGTGGGATGTGGTCACGCTCGCTGGGTTCACACCTAGGAGTATTGAATATGCGCGTCTGGCGCGCGACCGTCGCGCGGTTTTTTTAATCGCGATTCGCGGTAAAAAAGTCGTGCGACCGTCGCGCGATTCCGAAGGCTACTTGGCTGTATCCCAATGTAAAACGCCCTACAAAACGGCCCAAAGAAGTACATGTACTTGTTTGAGCGTAGGCCGTTTTGTAGGGCGTTTCAGACGGGCGGAAATACGGTAAGGTGTGAACCAGACCCATAGAAAACAATGGGCTTTTCATGCTTGTACGTTTTGTTGAGCGTTCATAGAGCGTTGAACGCGCGGCAAAACGTAAAGGTGTGAACGGGGCCTAATGGACTTCACAGCCCATTGTAACACATACTTAGTATAAAGAAGAACTCCACAAAGTATGAAATGAAAGTTCTGCATGAGATCCCGGCACATTGTATTCCCTCTCCCCATTCATTTTATGATTACACCTTTTTTCTTTGCATTGCAGTTACTATTCAGTTGACTTTCAGCTCATGAGATCCGATACAAATCCAGTCCGCCGACTCTCCACCCCATCGTCTCTCACCCGATCCTCTACATATGGACTGAACACTAAGTGGATTTGGTACTGGAAGGACGAGTTGGGCACCTGGACCAAATGTAGGCAGTCAGTAAGTGAAGCCTTACTACATTAAAAGGCCAACTCAACCAAAGCTGAGGTTTCAGTTATAGGTGTGCCTGGCACAGGGCCGCTGCAAAGATTTTTGCATATACAGGTGGATTTTTGCCCTCCCCCCCCCTCCCAGCACCCTTAGTTGGCTGCGTATACATCCTTACGCTGGTGCTAGTCTGGACCATATTGCTATGGGCTAACATTGCATAACTGGTCAAATTGCAACCCCCCTTACCTGAATCGCAGGGTTCTTCTCCCCACAAGTTGTGCGGCTCTGCGTGGCTACACCAACACAGCCACGTCATCCATGCCGCCTGCCATCTTTTGTTCGCGGGGGCTGGGGACTTTAATTTTGGGGGGAATTTTTTATTTTTGTTTATTTAAATTTTTATTTTTTTTAACTTTTTTAATTTTTTTTAAACTTTTTTTTTAATTGTATTTTTAATTTTAGTTTATTTAACTTTATTTATTTATTTATATTTTTATTTATTTAACTTTTTAACATTTTCTTGTATTTTTAATTTTAGTTTATTTAACTTAATTTTTTAAAACTTTTTTTACTTCATTGCTGGGAGCAATAGACAGCCTGCTATTGGATATTTTAAATTGCAATAGCCAATAACAGGCTGGCTATTGCAACCACCCACTGCCTGCTGTCAATCAGCAGAGGAGGGATGTGCAATAGCCAGCCTGTTATTGGCTACTGCAATGTAAAAGAGCCAATAGGAGGCTGGCAATTGCTGCCAGCTGCTGGATTGGAGGCACAGATTGTGGCTGAGAGCGGAAGCGCAGTGCGGAGGGGTGAGTAGACGGCACGGGGGACGGAAACTCACAGACTGTCAGCGGTTTCTCCTTACAGCCTGTAATCGGCTATCTGTCCCCTTTGACACAGATCACTGCAGCCGATTACAGCCTGTAAGGAGAAACCGCTGACAGTCTGTGAGTCTGCAGTGGGGAGAACGGACGAGCACAGTTCTCTGTGTGGACAGTGCTACCATTTCTCTCCGCCCCCCCAACAGCGCCCTCAGACGGCCGCTTGTGCTGCCTTGCACTAGCGCCGGCACTGGCCTGGCATGCTCAATCATCGTCCAGAGGCTAATATCTCTTGGGGATCCCAATGGTGAGATCTTTATGCTTCTTCCTGCGTGCAGCTGACTGATGACATCATCACCGTTTTTAGACCAAATAATTTTTGTTCAGTTAAAAAATATATTATTCTTAGCTTTGATCCAAGCCACTCATTGTGGTATCCTACCAGCCCCTCAACATTTTAATCTGTGCCTCTAGAGGTTTTCCTGGTCTATTAGGACCCTAGAAACGCCTCTGACCTTTGGGGTGAATTGTGGCGCCGGTTGTGTTTCAGGTCTTCTTATCCAACATCAGTACCTGACCTCAAAAATTATTTGTTTGGCTGAACGGACAAACATTCCCACAGACTACAAGCCTCCCCAGAAGAGTGGAGACTGTTATAGCCACAAAGAAGGGGCAAAATCTATATTAGTACCCCTTAGTTTAGGGATGGGATGTCCAATAAGCTCATACAGGTGTTATGGTCAGGTATCCACAGACACTTAGCCATATAGAGTTATAACCCGACATGCAGGGCTGTAGCTACCATGGGGCGAGTGAGGCACTCGGCTCAGGCGCAGTTGAGAGGGGGCGCAGCCAAGGCCGGCCTGGTTGCGCCCCCTCGTCCCTGTTGCCATGGCAAGCACAGGGTGCCATGGCAACAGGGTGTAACACCTGGTGTAAGTTTGGGGTTTTGTGGATCGCAACTGCGGAGGCCAATCAGACGGAACCCTGGTTTCACTCCCAATCTTAACGGGGAGTTAGGGTTCAAGCATCACAGCCAAAAATAACAGAGGTAAAAGGTTGGATGGGATTATTACTGCATAAGCCCAATCACAAGTAAAAGTAACAAAAGATGTAAAGGTTCAGGATTTCAATTAGGGTAGGATTGATATCAGCTATGGTTAGAGGTAGAGTTGTATTCTTCAAAAGGACCACTAGATGGAGCATGCAAGTTAATCCAGCTTCTCAGTACACACAGTCAGTTTATCTCAATGGTAATGCAATATGCCAGGGTACTTGCGATTAAATGGAGTAGCAGAAGGAGCTGGGGGTCCAAGTGGAGTTCGTTAAAGGTTCTCTGTAGCTGGTAGCAGTATTGGAAGGTATGGGGGGTCCCAGGAGACAGCAGGCGTTCAGTCTTCAATATTGGAACGCCATACTGTCTCACTGGGGCGTTTATATAGGGCTAAGAGGCGGGGGGAGGAGCCGCCGAACGAGGCGGAGCACTTCCGTGTGCCAAGGTGGAACGCACCCGCCGTCCGACCCGGAAGTGGATGCGCGAGTACCCCGCAGATGGCCCGTCCCGTGAGGCAGAACCCTGTACCCCCCGATTCCCAAGGAGTGGCACAGGCTCCAGCTTCTCCTTGGGTCCCCAATGCTCTCCCCTGCCTGGAGGCGGGCCGCATGACGTCACATGATGCCATGCGTGTGCGGTGTTGGGTGACATCACACGTCTGTTGGTGGGGGGCACAACTTTCTGTTCTTGCCTCGGGTGCAAAAGGAGCTAGCTACGTCTCTGCCGACATGTGCCGGTATTGATTCATCTTACAGAATGGTGACTTCTGCGTTCCACCATTACATTTGTATGCTGCCTACATTTGGGGCCATGTGCTTCATGATACTAGATAATGACTTCCTTCTTTCTCTCTGCTATCCTAGAACACAGACGGAGTGAGTTCCCTGATCCTATCATCAGAACTGGAGACCATCTACCTCTCAAAACCCACCGGGACCATTCCGATCACTTCCAGTAACCAGAAATACATTCTCAACTGCCAAAGTGAGCACCATTGTCCCAGAAAACATCAGCCAACGTCCCAGAAAACATCTACCTGTTAGTTTAGATGAAAATAATTCACAGGGAACAGTAATACAATCCAACTGAAGCCAACAGATGCGATTTAATTTTATAGAACATTAAGTGTATCTTTAGCCAATTGTTCTCTTTTAGTTTTGGATAGAGTAGTCAGGGCAGCCATCGGAAATTTTGGCCCCCCCCCCCCCCCCGCAGAACAGTATATGAATTTGACTCAGGACTTTAAAACGCGCTGGACGCAGGGCTTAGTAACGCGCTGGACTCAGGGCTTAGTGACGCGCTGGACGCAGGGCTTAGTGACGCGCTGGACGCAGGGCTTAGTGACACACTGGACGCAGGGCTTAGTGATGCGCTGGATGCAGGGCTTAGTGGCGCTCTGTACGCAGGGCTTAGTGATGCACTGGATGCAGGACCCACCTGAGACCCCACACATACCTGAGAGTGACCCTGCAGAGCCCACCATAGATGCTGCATAGCCCATCTGATACTCTCTATGGAGGGCTCTGCAGGGGTCTCAGGTGGGCTGGTCAGGGCTGTATCTGCCTCTCTCCCTCCCTGCTCCTGGTGCCTGCACACCCGGCCTCCTCTGCCGCCGGACTGGCTGGAAGTGATGTCACTTCTGGCCAGCCCGAGATCAGAAGAGCAGCGGCGCCGATGGGGCCCTTGCGTGCCCTGATGCCGCTGGATCGGCAATGCTGGGGCCCGGAGCTGCTAGGGCCAGGCCCTCTCCTTGCCTGTCACCGTCGGCTTATACTCATGTAAGGGTCCCGGGCGGGCCCCCCCAGCTGCCCGGTCCCCTTTCATGAGTATCGGCCGTACCCCCCTGATGGCAGCCCTGAGAGTAGGGTACAATCGTGAGTGTCTGCATTCCTTTGAATCATGAATGGGTACATAGGGTACATAAGAGCAATAAAAACATAATGGAGGTTCTAGCCTTCTCCAAACATTTCTTAGCTGGAGATCCTGCCTATAACAGCCCTTTCAGTTGAAGGCTGACTATGCTAAACTGCTGCCTTGCAATCAGTGGCTGCCTTATCAGATAGCCTTGTGTGCTTCTTTAGGCCCCTTTCACATGGTGTTCCAATCAGGAAGGTTGTTGGTAAGGAGGTATCAGGTGGACCTGATCAGAAGCAAGAAGTTAGTCTATGTGGAGTTACCTCCGAGTCCGACTAGGTCTGCAAAAGAAAATGGAATAGAGTTCCAATTAGGACTGGATCGTAGGTAATCAGATGTAACAAGTCTGTTTGCATCTGAATCCCCATAGACCAAACACGGGTCCGGTTAGCTCAGATTTTGGAGGAACATCTGAATGTACTCAGATGTCACAAAAGTGACATTCATTCTGTACTGCTCGGATCAGAAGTCTGCGCACGGATCCCCTGCAGGTCAGAATGGAAGGCACCATCTGAAAGTGGTCTTAGTTGGCCATTGGGCTGCCAGCAGTGGCTGAGCCGTGTCATCCTGCAATAAGATACATTGTTACTGGTGGGATCTCCAGCTAAGAAAACTTTGAAACAGATTCACAAAATGATTTCCTCAAGAAAACTGTATGCAGTGAGATGCCAAACATACTGAAGAATAGATTTAGGGTTTTCATACACTAAATTATTTTTCTTCAGTCTAATTAATTTTCTTCGCTTTTAGAGATGAGGCTGCAGCATGTTTATTTCATGACGGAGTGGGAGGTGCGTCGGAGACCTAGGTTCTTGGATTCTGTCAGGGTGAAGATTTTGAGGAGAAGGTAATAGGGGACATCACAACCAGTGCATACAGCATACCCTGTGCTAATAGAGGGATTGTTGTTGGTTCAGCGACCACTAGGTGGCGCCTCACCCTCATCTGTTATTTGCTTTTATTGTACAGCATAATATCTGACGCAAGCAATTCAAAGCAGGAGCCAGCGGACTCCCCCGCGAAGGCGGTAGACTATCCACCAAAGTGGGACTTAAAGACCGTGCCACATATAGGGTATCAGGTATGATGGGGAGCAAATTTTACAACCCATGTCATTAAAGTGTTTCTAAAGCCATTTTTTTTAATAGAGTAGGGAATGGTAATCAGACACAAGTGATATCATAATGTAATCCTTTTAACCTTGCTTAGTCTATCCCCTGTGTACCTAATAAGAGCTACAGTGCTAACAAAGTGAAAACAAATTATATCATGCAGGATTATAAAGAGATAAAACATTTGTGAGACTTCAGTTGGTCTTTAAAAAAATAAATTAATCTGCATGGCAAGTCATTTTATCAATTGCGCAGGTCCGGACGCTTTTTCACTCGACTCGATAGGTTGCTTTGTGGCAAATAAGCATCACATGGGCAGAATAAGATAGTCATGGTTCTTTGTGTGGAAAATCGCAGGTTGGGCCTAGGTAATGGTTACATAATGTCAGACAGGTTCTCTTTGTCTTTTGTCACTTCCTTGTAGTAACATAAGACTGTGTAAGGAACTGGACGTATTTTTTATTCTTTTGCAGAACGTTCGGGTACCGCAGACGTGCGACGAGTTTTCAAACATTGTCAAAGTGTTCAGCAAGACGCTCCCGGAACACAAGGTGGAGAAAATGTGGCGGGTTCAGAACCCCACCCTCTGGCAGGCCTATCAGTGGTATGTCAGCCATTTCTACAGAGCTCCGGGTGGCCAATATATTTCGGGATTAAAATGATCATCCCGTCTTTATAAACCCTGAAGGCCATTTTATTTCACACAAAAAAGGCAGCAGATTTCTCAGGAGTCACTTTGTGACGTCAGGGGAATACCCCCTTTTTGCTTTGTGACAGTTGTCACTGCAATGTGAATAAAGGGGAAATCATTCAATGGGACACCAGTTCCGAGGACAATGGTCTTAAAGGGGATTTCCCCTCACAATGGAGAAAGTTAAAGTTGTTACTAGAACTAAAGCAGTCTAACCTTGCTACATATTGCCTGACAGATTAGCCCCTGCTGCAGCCTTTCACCATGTGACTTGCTAAAAAGTTAAAATGTACAGACTGATCACTGGGGGAGGGGAGACGGAGGAAATGCTTTCTCACACCTGCAGCAGACTGATGACATCACCTCAGCCTAGGCAAAGTAACTGGACATCTAGGATGGATTTGTAATGATAAAAGGTGGAGTTTTTATGATACTGTTGCTGGATATGGTGATATGTCAGTTGTTTATTCATGGGAGCCTATCCACTGACAGGTCCACTTTGGGTTTATATATAACCTGCTAATTAGTTTTCTTGCAACTAATTTGTTTGACATTTTCTTGTGTCATAGTCAGAAGGATCAGATGAAGAAGAATTTGGGCGTCAATGTAGATGAGCGTCAGCTGTTTTACGGCACAAACTTTGTCAAAGTCACCACCATCTGCATGAACAATTTTGATTGGAATGTCCAGGACACCCACGCCCCCTTGTATGGACAAGGTGAATCTTAAAGGACAACCAGCTAAGCACCATTGGTATTTAAGTCGGCCATTTTACATTAGGCCAATGCCATTTCCCTCTGTTTTTTCTGTCCTTGGAGGATGCTGGGCATAGTCCTTGTGGAGGTGGCAGTCCCAGGGAATACCCTACAGTCCTTATATGGAACATGGAACCACAGACCCAGCAATGGGATCTGTACAGTAATACCTTTCAGAGAAAAAGTATGGAAGGCTTATTGCTGCCTGTGTCCCAGTTGGGGAAATTCCCCCTAATAGAGGCACAAACCGGTGGCCTAACAATCGGCATAGCGACCCAGGCGCCCGCTATAGGGCCCTTGGCACAGGGGGGCCTGACCAGGACATCCCTGATGCCGTGCGGGCCGCCTGGGTCGCTATGACATCTCAAGCTGCTGGCTGTCACTGGCGGCTGTAAAGAGGAACGCGCCGCTGTTCAGATCACTGACAGTGATCTGTGCATCGGCGCGTTCCTCTCCACAGCCGCTGCTGAGTCAGTGACAGCCAGCAGCTTGCCGGGGAGGAGTCGGGACCCAGCAACGGAGGAGGAGGCGGGATCAAGGTCGGCAGCGGAGGAGGCGGGCTCGACGATGGAGGAGGCAGGGCCTGGTGACAAAGGAGGAGGGGCTACCAGCTATTGTGGAGGCGGACAGCGGATCGGGGCTGACAGGTAATTGGTGTGACCACCCCACCTGAGACCCGACAGAGCCCACCATAGCGAGTCTATGGTGGGCTCTGCAGGGTGACTATCAGGTGGGCTGTGTGGGATCTCAAGTGGGCTCTGCAAGGGGTGTAACTAGAAATCACAGGGCCCCATACAAAATGTTGCTATGGGGCCCTGTGATTTCTAGTTACGCCCCTGGCACAAACAATAAGGCATTTTTAATAGAGCGGGGAAGGGATAGAACATCTGCCAACTATTTAATTGCTGTCCACTCCTACCCATTCTGGTGACAGTCCTAGTTCTTGTACAGGTGCCATGGGGACAGGAAGTGAGTGAAAATATCCCCATTAGGGGTCACAGACAGAAATGAAAAGCTGGTAATGTAACTTTTCACCATGCTATCCACTAAAAAAATTGGAATGATTATAATTCTTAATTGTGTGGCAACTGACAGGTCCTCTTCTGTAAAATGCAACAGCCAATTCGATATTCTTAGGGTTCAGCTGTATATATTTTCACACTAACCAATACACTAATCCTACAAAACAGGACGCCCTCCCCCTCCCCCTTTTTTTGTTTTAAAGGCCGACCACCTTCCCATGCCCAAGCTGATGTCATGCTTGTACCCCTACATGGGGCCCAGGCTCAGTGGTACCAATCTACGGAAGCCCTCACAAAACCCAGAGACACTTCCTCTAAACCATAGCAGAAGGGGTTGTACTGCTTTTATAACTTGTAAACTTTCGCTTAATAGGAAATTACTTCGCCAGAGACGCGTCCTACGCCCACAAATACTCCCCGGACTTCTCCATGGGGACAAGGACCATGTTTGTGGCTCGGGTGCTGGTCCATGCCAAAGGTAATCCAGCGATGGGACACCGACCTCAGAAAGACAGGAGCGCAGACTCCTGTGTAAACAGCGTCACCGATCCGTCCGTCTTCGCGGTGTTCGAGAAATCTCAGGTCTATCCAGAGTACATCCTGGAGTATAAGAAGGAGAAGAAAAAATCGGCCTGCATCATCAGCTGAGAGGGAGCCGTAGATTCAATGGAATCTGGAGCAGTTGCCCATAGCAACCAATCAGCTTCTCTGTTCAGTCTGTTCAGTTATACTTTGCAAATGAAAAATAGAAGCTGATTGGTTGCCATGGAAAACTGCTCCATATTCTGTCTGCTCCAGTATTGATGAGTTCCACTCAATGTGCGGTGTGGTCCGGAACTAAGAGTGGTCACCAGGTACAGCGCCACGTAATATGTAGGCAGTTTAATAATAAAAGAAGAAAACTACTACCAATATATTTTGCGAATTTTGATACTCAGGCCATTCCTGTGACAGGTACACAGTACAGTCACTGGTGGTTTGTTGCTCTGTATCATGCTGCAAGCTTTGTAGCAGCGGAATGTGATTGGCTGATACAGGCGACAACATCATTTTCCTCTGCAAATAATACCGATAATGTTTTCCTGCGACAAGACCCTACTGCGGAGTTGTTATTGCAGCACAAAAAAAATAAAATACCGTAAGTGATTTTGAATAAAAATTTGATTTTCTGTCCAGATCTAGTGTGCTTATATTGTGTTTTGTTTTTTGTTTTTTTTTTATTAGCCCGTGGAGCGTGCATCTAAAACAATCACTACACACAACAAAAAAGTGCACGAGGGTGCCATTGGTCCTCTCTGATGAGAAGGGCCACTAATTCCGGATCCCCTGGGGCGCAAGGCTCCTGACAGGGACAAGAATGACTTAGGTCCACCTACCCGAAGGCCGGCGGACCCCGATCCTCTAGGACCTGTTAAAAAAGTTCCCCGAGTACTTGGTTGGTGGCTCCCCCGAAGGAAGACCCCCGAGTGGGAGGAGGCAGGGGGCCCTTGTGTAGGTCACAGGACCTCCTCCTTAACTTCAGGAACAGGCCCCGAAGGTACCTGCACCCTCCATCATTCTGTGAAGTAAAAAAAAGTGCACAAATCGTAAATAAAAATTGTGCTGAAATAAATAAGGTGCCAGTGCACAAACCTGGCAGGCTGTCCGGCCAAGGTATACAAATTGCCCAAGGCTAGCCAGAAGGCCTGCCCAAGAGGCGTGGTGCAAGAAAAGCGTAAGTGCCGTGACCTAATGCTGGTGAATCAAGTGGGGTCCCAAACCCAAGTGATTTTCCGGCACACCCTGAGACGCCATTACCACAGGCTTTGTCCCTTCCCAGCCCATGGGCAGACAAAGTAGACCCGTCCAAATCAGGAGGTACTGTGCCCTGCCAGATCCCAGCGCCGAGGAGTACTCCTGACCCCCACTCTTACGTGAGTGAACACTAATTCGGTTTCCTCCCCATTGCCGGGTCTTTTAGGAACCCCCATCACCAGGCAGGGTACTCAGAGAACGACCATACCAGCCATAAGGCCAGTACAGCAGCTCCTTTCCCCTCCCGCCACTGATAAGAACAGATACTACATTAGCCAAAAGGCAGAGAAGCGATAACCTGAGGAGGTAAATGTGTGGGGATGAATTGTTTGAGAAAGTGATAGTTCAGTGGTTAGGTTGAGGTGTGATAGGCTTTATGATAGTTATGCTTTAATACAAAAAAAGTAAAAGGTTAAAAATACAGCAAAAGATCAGGTAACCCCTTCGATGGAAACGGCTTGTTCTTCATGCAAACCTCGAATATGCAATCTCTGTGTTCTTCAGATAGTGCTCGAAGGAACAAAGTAGAAATAATCCCTATAGTGCTTTCCATATTAGTGCTTATTCCATTTGTACATTTGTGATATGTACCTTATAAACATGACATTTTTATATATTATAATATATTTTGGCTTGCACATAAATAGTTTGGTTTTTGTTTGTTTTGTTTTTTGATGTATTTTATTGGTTTTGGCCCTGCACAGCATACCAGCACATTATAGCACACTTTCCTTACAAGTCTGCAGTGTTAATTTCAACAACAAATTTTGATTTAGTTTAAGACTCCATTCACACTGAGCTACATCAGCGCTGAATTGAGCAGAGCGACTTTGAGGGACATTGAGCTACAGTGCACATATTGTCGCGCTACGTAACGCTACTTTTGGCATGGACTTCGTAGCTGCTACATTGGGCTGTATCCAATAAAAAGGATGATGTGACATAATTCCTCTTCCTGTTTCCTGCTTATGCTCCTGCTTATATTTCTGTGCAAAAGTGACACTTCTGTAGCGCGACGTAGAGCGGCAAAGTCAGGCAAAATCACTGGTAATGTGTGACATTGAGCTACACCATTGAAGTCTAATCGCACGAAATCCGCCGAAAAATAGGCCATGTTCAAGCGAAAAGCATGAGCTACAAGCTACAGGCGACATTGAGCTGTGAGCAGCTCCATTGACATGCATTGGAAGAGCTACATTGAGCTACATAGAGCTTCATGTTTGAGCGGAAATCGAGGTACAAAATGCTCAGTGTGAATGGGGTCTTAGTCATAGTGTTTTGACTAAAATGCCATTTAGTTTTAGTCATCTGAATTGTTTTAGTTTTTAGTTGACTAAATATAATACGATTTTAGTTGACTAATCTACAATAGATTTAAAGTTAATTTTAGTTAAAGTGTAATGCATTATTGAAGAATTTCCAATCTCATGATATACTCCTGGAGTAAACATCGATGAACTTGTTATTACTTATGGTATTAAAGGAGAACTATGGGGTTAAGGCTTTTCCCCATAGTTCTCCTTAGGGTAACGGAAGGACACAAACTAGCGTCCTCCCGTCACCCTAAGCTCAGTATACTAGAGCTGTAGCTCGCGGTATACTGAGACGCCGCAGCTGAAGCGGATCCCAACAATTGTGCCGGGATCCGCCCAGCTGCGTGACTGACAGCTGGCTCTGCCTATCTAGAGGCAGAGCCAGCTGTACCCGCCACCTCCCCCGTCCGTTCTGCCAGTCAGCGCTGGCGGGTCGGAATGGGGAGGGGGGGAGCCCGCCCCTCCCCTGT